CCTGGAGGAGAAGGCAGACAGGAAGCTTCAGAGGCAGAGAGGCAGCCATGACCCTGCAACTCAAGATATAGCCGAGGACTTCTAGAACCACCTCAGAAAGCGACAAGAATGAGGGAATGTGTGGTTTAAAGTGAGGGAGAGTGATTAAGGGGGGCAGATTGGGCAGCAGAGTGTGGCCAGCACAGTCAAGCCAAGTCATGGAAATGTAATACATTATTTAAAAGATAAACATTCACCGTAGTTTCTGTCACGTGTGTATGTAGTCCAGAATGTCCTTGAACTCAGAATCTTCCTGCTTCAGCCTCGTGAGTGCTGAGATCACCGGCAGGCATTACCATGTGAAATGGGCATTTTCTTTTTTTTTCTCTTTTTCCTTCAATACTGGGGATTGAACCCAAACCCTTCTCACTGAGCTACCTCCCCAGTCCTCTTTATTTCAAGAGAAGGCCTAAGTTGCCCAAGCTTGTGATTGTCCTGCCTCAGCCTCCCAGAGTGCTGGGACTCGAGGCACACAGCTTCTGGCTTGATGTGAATTTTCTTACCAAGATGGGGAGCATCTTTTTCTGTGCCTTTTCATTTTTGAATTTATGTATGTATTTATTTTTCATTACTAGGGGTAGAAACCCACTTGGAAAACCCTCTACCACTGAACCACACGCCCAGAACTCTTCAATTTTATTTTGACACAAGGTCTCCCTAAGATCCCCAGGCTGCATCAAACTTATTATCCTCTTGCCCAGCCTGGGTGAGTAGCTGGCTTGCAGGTGTGCACGCTGGGCCTGGCTGTGTGTATTTCTCTGTGTATCTTCCTTGGATGCACAGCTATTCAAGTTTTCTGCTGATTTTTAAAAATGTGATTGTTGCTCTTCTCATCACTGAGTCCCAAGCATTGCTTGTAAGCTTTAAATTTGGTCCTGTGTGGATTTGGTCCTGTGGAGACTTGGTCCTGTGTGGATTTGGTCCTGTGGAGATTTGGTCCTGTGTGGATTTTGTCCTGTGTGGATTTGGTCTTGTGGAGATTTGGTCCTGTGGAGATTTGGTCCTGTGTGGATTTGGTCCTGTGGAGATTTGGTCCTGTGGAGACTTGGTCCTGTGTGGATTTGGTCCTGTGGAGATTTGGTCCTGTGGAGACTTGGTCCTGTGTGGATTTGGTCTTGTGGAGATTTGGTCCTGTGGAGACTTGGTCCTGTGTGGATTTGGTCCTGTGGAGACTTGGTCCTGTGTGGGTTTTGTCCTGTGGGGATTTGGTCCTGTGTGGATTTGGTCCTGTGGAGATTTGGTCCTGTGGAGACTTGGTCCTGTGTGGATTTGGTCTTGTGGAGATTTGGTCCTGTGGAGACTTGGTCCTGTGTGGATTTGGTCCTGTGGAGATTTGGTCCTGTGGAGACTTGGTCCTGTGGAGACTTGGTCCTGTGTGGATTTGGTCCTGTGTGGATTTGGTCCTGTGGAGATTTGGTCCTGTGGAGACTTGGTCCTGTGTGGATTTGGTCCTGTGGAGATTTGGTCCCGTGGAGACTTGGTCCTGTGTGGATTTGGTCCTGTGGAGATTTGGTCCCATGGAGACTTGGTCCTGTGTGGATTTGGTCCTGTGGAGATTTGGTCCCGTGGAGACTTGGTCCTGTGTGGATTTGGTCCTGTGGAGATTTGGTCCCGTGGAGACTTGGTCCTGTGTGGATTTGGTCCTGTGGAGATTTGGTCCCGTGGAGACTTGGTCCTGTGTGGATTTGGTCCTGTGGAGACTTGGTCCTGTGTGGATTTGGTCCTGTGGAGACTTGGTCCTGTGTGGATTTGGTCCTGTGGAGATTTGGTCCCGTGGAGACTTGGTCCTGTGTGGATTTGGTCCTGTGGAGATTTGGTCCCGTGGAGACTTGGTCCTGTGTGGATTTGGTCCTGTGGAGATTTGGTCCCGTGGAGACTTGGTCCTGTGTGGATTTGGTCCTGTGGAGATTTGGTCCCGTGGAGACTTGGTCCTGTGTGGATTTGGTCCTGTGGAAATTTGGTCCTGTGGAGACTTGGTCCTGTGTGGATTTGGTCCTGTGGAGATTTGGTCCCGTGGAGACTTGGTCCTGTGTGGATTTGGTCCTGTGGAGACTTGGTCCTGTGTGGATTTGGTCCTGTGGAGATTTGGTCCCGTGGAGACTTGGTCCTGTGTGGATTTGGTCCTGTGGAGATTTGGTCCCGTGGAGACTTGGTCCTGTGTGGATTTGGTCCTGTGGAGATTTGGTCCCGTGGAGACTTGGTCCTGTGTGGATTTGGTCCTGTGGAAATTTGGTCCTGTGGAGACTTGGTCCTGTGTGGATTTGGTCCTGTGGAGATTTGGTCCCGTGGAGACTTGGTCCTGTGTGGATTTGGTCCTGTGGAGACTTGGTCCTGTGTGGATTTGGTCCTGTGGAGATTTGGTCCCGTGGAGACTTGGTCCTGTGTGGATTTGGTCCTGTGGAGATTTGGTCCCGTGGAGACTTGGTCCTGTGTGGATTTGGTCCTGTGGAGACTTGGTCCTGTGTGGATTTGGTCCTGTGGAGACTTGGTCCTGTGTGGATTTGGTCCTGTGGAGACTTGGTCCTGTGTGGATTTGGTCCTGTGGAGACTTGGTCCTGTGTGGATTTGGTCCTGTGGAGACTTGGTCCTGTGTGGGTTTTGTCCTGTGGGGATTTGGTCTTGTAGAGATTTGGTCTTGAGTATTTTGAAAATCTTTTGGCCTCTCTAGGGTGTGCCTGGTTGCTTTCCTAATTGTATCTTTGGAAGAGCTGCATCTTCAACCCGGGTGAAACACCCGTTTCATCACTGTTTTGGAACCTCCCAGACAGAACGTGAGGTCTCAAAGGGCCACCCTCACCTCGGGGTCCTGAAGGTCACTGTCCTGGGCTTCCCAGCTTCCCACATCTAGTGATTTCAGGACTGTTGTCCTCTGTGTTTTAAGTTTTCCAGCTGTTGGTGGGGGAGGTAAACATGGCCGTTACTCTTTCATGGCCAGAGGTAGCAGCCTAACTTTATTTACTCGGTCTATTTGCTTGTTTGCCGCCTCTTCACACATGCTAGGCCATCACTCTACCCCTCTGTGCTCCAGCCCACCTTCACTGTCAGAAGTCTGTAAGGCTTCCAGCTGTGTTGCTGTGTTTGCCCAGCAGGGAACTGCTGCCATCTGAAACTTGGCCTGCTTCGCAGTCAGGGGTTCGAGTCTCATTTCCTTGCCTCTCCTCCTCTCTGCACTGGCTTGTGGTTTCCTGCTTTCTCGCTGTAATTCTGCGGACATTTCTGTGTTGTCCTGCGATGTCTGAATTTTCCCTCTGCTGCCACGAGGCCCTCTATAGACTTGATTTCTCTCTAAGTAAATTCCAGCAATATTTGTCCTTTTGCCTCTGGCTTATTCCACTTAGTTTCAAATCTTCAAGGTTCATTTATTTTGTGGAATGGTCTGAATTGCATTTCTTTTTAGCACCGAAGAATATTCCATCACGTACACAAACATCTCCACTCATCCGCTGGTGACCATTTGGGCCACTTCCATCTGTCAGTGTGAATAGTAAAATACTATTGTAGATATTGGTGAACAGATTCATTCAAATACAGTATTTAATTTTTTTTAATGTATATAGCCACATGACTAGTGAGTGATCAACTGGGCAACTGTATACCTTTTCCGGAGACAAAACTAAGAAATATATTTTAAAAGAAAAACACAGGATTGGAAAAGGAGCCCAGTGGTGGAATGCTTGGTTAACATGCACAAGGCCCTGGACTCAGTCCCCAGCACTGGGAAAAAAATCCATACTAAATTTTGCATTCAAGTCCAAAATTCAGAATTTTTACTTCTTATTTTATATTAATGTATCTTCTCTAAAGCTGAACACCCTGGGTCCTCATTACTATACAATACTACTTAAGTTACTTGCTCCCACTTTATGTAATGATTCCACAATAGTGATACCGCTATGGCCAGGTTACGGTTTAGCCCCCAAACGTCCCCCATAGCTTCCTGTGCGTGCGGGGAGTGGGGGGGTGCTGGGTCCAGGGAGGAGTTGTAGGACCCCTGCAGGGGGCGGAGTCTGATTGCAGGAGGTTGCAGGTGTGGCCTGGAAGGACTCTCCTCTTGGCTCCGCCCTTCTCTCGCTTGCTTCCAGGCTGCCAGGGGGTGAGCGCTCTTCCTTTGCCAAGCCAGTCGACCCTGCTGCTTCTGCCTTAGACCCATCAACCATGGACGGAGCCCCCAGGAATTGTGAGTCAATAACCCTCTCCTCTTCTAAGCTGTAGGTGTCAGGTATTCTGTCCCAGCCATGTGAAAGTGACTCATACGCCAGGATTATCGCAAATGACCCAAGGTGTCTTTTTCACATTTGTCCTTGGTATGTGGTCCACTGGGGTTGCAGTCACACTGTTGAGTTTAAAGTCACTTGAAATCGTCCTTATCTGCATGTTAAATCTCTAACTTCAACAGCTCGTTCATCTGTTTTATTCTATTACCAAGTTTCAGGATTTTTCTCTTTTTATTTATTTTTGGTTTATAATTAAATGATCCCATAGCCAAATGTATACGCATTTAGAAAAGTCTAGTTTCTATTGTGCCCCTGCCCACAGCTGGATAACCATTTTTAGTTTATCTTTTAATGCTAAAAAATACACGTCTAGCGTGGCGTGGCGCCGATTGCCTGTAATCCCAGCACTGAGTGAGGCTGATGCAGGAGGGCTGCACGTAGGCAATTTAGCCAGATCCTGTCTCAAATAACCCAAAATATAACAAAGGACTAGGGGTGCAGCTGAGTGGTAGAGCCCCTGGGTTGCATCCCCAGCAACACACCCGCAGTCTGATCAGAAGACACCAGCACTTGGGTGGGGAGGAGCAGCCCCCGGGGCCGACCCGCGGCGACTCGAGTGGAGGGCTGGGAGGAAACGACGGTGCAGGTGCAGGCGGTGAGGTGTCCCGGGCTGCGAAGTCCCCAGTGTGTCCTCAGCTCCAGCGCTTCCTGAGGAGGATCGAGTCCCAACGCCTCTAGTACGCTCCTGTTTTTCCAGGTCGCCGGTCAGTAGGGGCGACCGGTCCCGGATCAGGGTCCCAGCGAGCAGAGCTGGGAAGATGGCCGACTGCGCCTGCGCGGAAGCGGGAGCGTCGGTTGCCAGGGAACCGCGCGGCCACGTAGCCGCCATTGCTGGACCCAGGCCACAAACCGACAGACGGACGTGAAGGGTTGCGGCCACCAAAAGAGGTGTGTGAGAAAGCTGCTTACCCCAGGCTCTGCAGGGGGGGACGCGAGTGCGACTTTGGGGGTGTGCATGGGAGGGGGGAGGGGGAGATAGAGTGCAGGGGATAGAACGCGAGATGGGATTCAGGGATGGCAGAGGGAGAGAGGGAGAGACGGTGCGGGCGAGGGGAGAAGAGAGCGATACGTGGGGCGTGGGGGGGGATGGGGAGCCGGAAATGAGTGCAAGAATAGGGAAAGGAGGTGAGGTGCAGGGAGGGGCGTGGACGGGGGAGGAGGGGTCGCAGGGGAGTGGGGTCCCTCTGTCCTCCAGAGTTGATGCACTGCCTTGGCACAAAGCTGGCAGAGTCCCTTTCGAGTGTGCATAGAGGAGTGAGAGGCGATGCTTGTCCCAGAGACTTCTAGTCCAGCCTTAAGATGCAAACCCAGATTGTGGAAGCGAATCGGCCTGTTACTTTATTTTCCATAAAGGAATACTCTTTTATCTGCAAAATTTACTTGGCGGAACATCCTTAGCCTTCACCCTGAGCAGATGCTGAGCTTAGAGGCAAGCAGCCAGCCAGGCATTGCAGGTCAGAGCTCCCAGCGGTCAGGTATCCCCTGCGCACCACTGGTGTCTGAGTCAGTTGTGGAAACAGCAGCAGCTGCTGCCCCGGGGTGATCTCCCAGTACCCCAAGCCCCCCTTTGTCACCCAAGACCCCTCCTTATTGACAGTGGACTCCTTTTATGATGCTGACTTCTTTGCTTTTCTTTAATTTTACTACCTAGAAATGCATTCCTAACCACAGAGTTAAGTTTCACCTATTCTCAAACTCTTTGTAAGAAGGAATATTATGGGCTGGGGATTTAGCTCAGCGGGGGCTGGGGATTTAGCTCAGCGGCATAAGCGCCTGCCTTGCAAGCAGGCAGTCGTGAGTTCGATCCCTGGTACCGATAAAAAGGAAAAAGACAAAAAAAAAATTTAAAAAAAAAAAAAAAAAAGAAGGAATATTATATATTATTTTTTAAAAAATATTTTAAAATCCCAACACTGTGTGGTCCAAGCCTCTGGCAAGCATGTTTCAGCAGCTGATCCCACAGATTCCAGAAGCAGGGATCCGGCCCTGTCACAGGTTGCCCTGCGTTTTCCTCCTGTCTTTCTAGTTGCCTCCAGTGCAGGACATTCCTCTGCCTTCCCTCATCTTTCTTGGTCCAGCATTTGAGAGGTTCCCTACCACTTGCTTTGTGTAAAGCCCCTCCACTAGGTTTGTCTGATGTTCCCATGTGTCGTGGTTGTTTTTCTCTCTTTGCTGGGACAAAATACCAACACCCAAAATAAGGAAGGAAAGGTTTATTTAGTTCACAGTTTGTAGAGGTTTCAGTCCATAATCAGCTGGCTTCAAGGCAGGGTGGTACGTGGCAACCAGTCAAGTTGGCAGAAGACCATAAAAGCAGCAAGAGCAAAAGGAGGGAGAAAGCCTCTTTTCCTCCCTTATATTGCACACAGGCCACCTCCTGGGGTGGGTGTAGCACCCACACCATCTCCCTTCCCTTCTCTTGCACAGGCTCAGGATGTTTATCAAATGAGGACCCTGGCCCCCTTGTTAAACTTCTAAAGTTCTCAAGTTGAACATCCTAGAGCAGTAAGGGTGTGTCGTCTATACCTTAGGATGCAGAGCTGCTGAGTTTCTTAAACTTCTTCTTCTCTTCCTCCTCCTCCTCCTCCTCTTCCTCCTCCTCCTCCTCCTTCTCCTCCTTCTCCTCCTTCCCCTCTCTTCCTTCTCCTTTTCCTTCTCCTCTCCTTCTCCTTCTCCTCCTCCTCCTTCCCTTTCCCCTCCCCCTTCCTCTTTCTCTTCTTCTTTGTTAATTTTCTAACTTTTTCAAACCATGTATTGACCATTTTCACCATGTATTGACCATTACACCACAGAATCACATCCTTGTTCATCTTTGGCAGGAAAGACATCATGATCTTCTCGTTCCATCCTCTCAGTTTGTCCCTGTCTTAGTCACTTTCTTCATTGTGGGGACAAAATACCTGCAGTCCACAATGTAAAGGAGAGAGGTTTATTTAGGCTCACAGTTACAATCTGTGGCTGGCTCCAAGGCAGCAAACAGCAGGGCAGGGGGCTCAGGGAAGAAGACCTGCTCACCACTGTGTGGTCAGGAAGCAGTGAGAGAAGGAAGGAGCCAGGACAGGAGGTGCACCCCTAACCCTAGGCCCATACCCCCTGTGGCACCTCTTCCAACCCAACTCCACCTCCTCCCTGCAAGTCAGCTGTGTCACCCCCATGATTCAGTCACTTTCTTTCTTTTTAAAAATTTTTTTAAAATTTTATTTAAGGAGAAAAAAAAACAGAAAAAGGGTATAAGTAATACAGAATTTCAAAAAAAATGAACAGTAGGAAATCACTAGTTAATAGATTACATATTGTCATCTTAGAAATAGTTGTTCAAGTTACAAAATTAAAGCATACAAAGTGGACATTCAAACAGTGAGACTGCAAACAGTTCTGTTCAAAGATCCAACAAAAACTCAGTAATATGGTTATCTATATTATACACTTAAATATACATGCACTTATATCCTTTAGAGCACTTTCTTTTCCTCTCTTTTTTACAATAACAATTACACATTTTGGGTTTTGTTACTCCCACAGTTCTTATTACCTTTTTTTTTTAAGAGAATAAAACCAAATGTGACAAAACAAAGCAGTCAGTCAAAACAAAGGATGGACATAGTACATGATGTAAAAACAGAATACAAGGTGATCAACAATGGTTACCATGACACCTCTTGCAATCTTAAAAAGAATTGCCTATATCATCAGTTATAATAAAATTGAACAAAACAGTAAAGAACAAAACCAATAAAACAATAAAAACCAATAAACAAAACCTCCAAAACATTGGAGACATTACAGGACTTCAAAAGAAGATAATAGTCAAACCAGAATGGGCATCATAGTGAATCTTATTGTCTTCAAAGTAGTTACCTATACTCTCAAACTTGATACTATTCCACAAGCCCCACCTATGAACCAGGAGGCCTTTGAGAGACATCTGGATCCAAACCATAATATTCTGCCCTGGCCCCCAGAAGAGTCCTGTGCATCTCTTTATGCAAAATGCAGTTAGTCTGTCTCTAAGAGCTGCTAACGGTGGTGGTGGTGGTTGTGGTGGTGGTGGTGGTAGTGAGATGTGAGCTTCAAGCCCGTGAGCAGGCCTTCCTCTATGGTGTTGTAGGCTGCAGTTCTCATGGCTTCTCTCTTGGGCTCACTGTGTAGTCTTCTTCAGTGGCCATTTCGTGTTCTTGTCTTCTACATCTTCCTGGAGTCTCCACTGCATCTGTAGCTTCACTCTCACAGTTTCACACACTACCCCCTCAGGGGCACAGTGCCTGTATTCCAGACCTAAAATGTGAGGAGAAGCCTCCTGAACCTCACAGCTCTTGTATGCTGCATGCCTATAAAACCAGCACCATGTGGGAGATGCCAAGATCCGCCACCAGCTCAAGCAGAAGCCAGGCTCATTTGGATCATGGCTGCAGAGGCCTCTGAGTGCCTGGATGACTGAGCACTGAATCAAATCCTCAAGAACCAATTTCCCAGGTAGCTCTTTTCAGCAGGATGATTGGGGAATCTCTTTTCACTTTTGGACCCTTGAGCCTGCAAAGGGTAAGGTCCTGCCGGTTCCTGCAATGTACTCAAGACAACTTTCCTGTTTTCCTGATGCACCGCTGTGTGGTCAGGAAGCAGAGAAGGAAGGAGCCAGGACAGGAGGTGCACACCTAACCCTAGGCCCATACCCCCAGTGGCACCTCTTCCAACCCAACTCCACCTCCTCCCTGCAAGTCAGCTGTGTCACCCCTACGATTCAGTCACTTTCTTTCTTTTGGCAGGAATGTGTCTTCTTTTTAGTGCTAATCTTTTCAGCAGCCTATCTCTTCCCTGCTCCAACTTTTCAGAACCCCCTCCTCTTTCAGGCAAAACTGAAAACTTTAAAAAAAAACAGTCAGCTAGGGGCTGGGGATTTAGCTCAGCAGCATAAGCACCTGCCTTGCAAGTGTGTGGTCGTGAGTTCGATCCCCGGTACCGATAAAAAAAGAAAAAGACAAAAAAATTAATTAATTAATTAAAATAAAAAACACTCAGCTGGGTCATTTGCTCTTGATTCTAATGTAGAGCTGGCCCCCAAACAGTACCCATGCCACAGCCTGAATTTGGCTGTCTTGAAATTTCCTCCACTGAAATAATTGGTCTGTCACCCTTAATCTCAGTCTCCCACAAAGCCTCAGGACATGAGACACATTTTCTGTCAGAGCCTAACACATATGGCCTGGAGTCCACTGTCAGTGACATCCTTGTTTTCTGAGCCTGGCTATATTGCTGTCACCATTTTAGTCTTCCGAGTACAGCCAGAATCTCCCATCAAAATCAGCTAACAGTTTGTATTGCTGGCATCTGCAAACCTTGCCAAACTCTTCCCATAAGATGATTCCAAAGACTTTTGAACCATGTGGCCAGGTAGTTGCAAAAATGACCCCACTCCTGGTAGCAAATTTTGTTTTAGATTCTTTCCTCATCGCTGGGACAGAATGAGACTTTGATTTTGGCTCATGTTTACAGGGCTGGGTATTTTGGTACATGGCTATAATCCCCTTATAATCCCCTATAATTGAGAGGCTGAAGCAGGAGAATTGTTGTGAGTTTGAGACCAGCCTGGGGTACAAAGTGAGTTCAAGGCCAGCCTGAACTGCTCACAGAAAGGTCACAGGAAGATTGGATGGAAGACTCCTTGAAGCCTGGAGAGGCCTGAGAAGCTCCTCCCCTGGTGCCCTCAGGGGGTGCACAGCCCCGCTTTGCCTTGGTGGGGGGACAACCCAGCTCTGCAGTTCAAACCCTGAGTTGTGTTGCTTCGTGGCAGCAATCTCAGAAGCTAATGCCACAAGTCAATTTTTGCAGGATGGGTCCAAGGAACGGCCTCACAGGGTCAGCAATCATAGTGGGCTAAACAGTGGCCCCAA